AAACCAATTAATTTACACATATTGCGTTTTTTTTTTAGCAAAGACATGTCGCAGAATACATTTTGGCAGAAATTTATGACTAAATTTTATTTTTAAATTTTTTTTTACTGGACATGTTTTATAGCAAAAAGTCCAAAATATTGTTTTTTTTTCCTCAAAATTGTCAGCCTTTTTTTTATAGCGCAAAAAATAAAAAACCGCGCAGGCGATCAAATACCACCGAAAGAAAGCTCAATTTGTGGGAAAAAAAGAATGTAAATTTAATTTATGTACCATATTGCATGACCGCGCAATTGTCCGTTAAACTAGTGCAGCGCTGTATAGCAGAAAAATGGCGTAAATTGCAGTATCTATACCATAGTTTTGTAGACGCTATAACTTCCACACAAAGCAATCAATATACACTTATTGGGATTTTTTTTACCAAAAACATGTAGCAGAATACATTTTGGCCTAAATTTATAACCAACTTTGAGTTTACTATATATTTTTTATAGCTGAAAGTAAAAAATATTGTTTTTCTTCAAAATTTTTGGCATTTTTTTGTTTATAGCTGAAAGAAAAAAAAAAAGCGCACAGGTGATCAAATACCACCGAAGAAAGCTCTATTTGTGTGAAAAAAAGGACGTAACTTTTGTTTGGGTGCAGCGTTGCATGATACCCGCGCAATTATCAGTTGAATTAGTGCAGCACCGAGTAGCAAAAAGAGACCTGGTCATTAAGGGGGGTAAATCCTCTGGAGGACAAGTGGTTAATCAAACCCTTTAATACTTTTCCTTTTTCTTTTCTTTTCTTTTCAAATTTTTCTTTGTTCAGATACAGAATACGTCACTCAGCTGGATGAACTGATGGCTGTTTCAGGCGAAGAGGTCATCATCCCGTGTTATTACTCCAAGGACACCACGGAGATTACATTTGTTGGCTGGTATATTGCAGACGGAGCAACTAACAAATGTACTCATGCACCCGTACTCCACACACATGGAGCACATCAAGAGGGCCGGTACTCTCTGGTCAATTTCACCCAAGACGTCTCGCTGCGTATTCATAATATCCATCTAAATGATCATCGAAGTTATTGCTGCGCTGTCTCTACCGCACAAAAACCACTGCTAAGCAAACAGTTTACAAGTCTGATCATTGCAGGTAAACCATAGCACACATTGTACTAACACAGAGAAAGTAGAGGATGCCATTGCTGACCATCCCATCACTCTGACAATTCTAGCGCCCCCACTGTTATGATGAGCCATTGGTGTCAGTATTTTCGGAGAGTCACAAAAACCAGAATAGATACGCCGGTGAGAAGTCAGAGTAAAGTCAGACGGCCTTATCTACACACTGTACATGTAGAGTACAGCTGGCTGTACACAGCTCAAATTTCAGCGGATTCTTGATAAATTGGCCAAATTTGGAGCAGTGGCCCGTGTCTGTAGTACAATGATTTCCAGCTTCCAGGAGCATTGACTGGGTATGGTATATACATACTGTAGTTACATTGGTCCAGGCTGGATCAATCTATGTATAAAATATCCATACCTGAAATTTATTTTTTAAGTGATCCATAACAAGCTTTCACATTGCGTCAATAAAACTCTCTCTTAAGAACCTTATATTCTTAAGGGAAAGTTTTATTAACCACTTGCCTACCGGGCACTTATACCCCCTTCCTTACCAGGCCAATTTTGAGCTTTCAGCGCTGCCGCACTTTGATTGACAATTGCTCGGTCATGCAACATTGTACCATATGAAATTTTTTCTCACAAATAGAGCTTTCTTTTGGTGGTATTTAATCGCCACTGGGCGCTTTAACTTACTTTTGCGCTATAAATTTAAAAATGTGCAAAAAATTTGAAAAAAAAAAAAAAAAAGTTTATTTGTTTCTTTTATAAAATTTTTCAAACAGGTATTTTTTCTCCTTCACTGATTTGCGTTGATGAGGCGGCACTGATGGGCACTGATAGGCGGCACTGATGGGCACTGATAGGCAGCACTAAAGGGCACTGATAGGCAGTACTAATGAGGTGGCACGGATAGGCGGCACTGATAGACAGCACTAATTAGGGGTCACGGATAGGCGGCACTGATATGCAGCACTGATAGGCGGCACTGATAGGTGACACTGATGATGGGTACTGATAGACGGCACTGACTGGCATCACTTCTGGGCACTGACTGGCGGCACTGGCTGGCACAAACCCCTGGGCACTGACTAGTGGCACTGACTGGCAGCACTGCTGGGCTGCACTGGTGGGTGGCACTGGTGGGCAGCACTGGTTGGTGGGCACAGGTGGGTGGCACTGGTGGGCACAGGTGGGTGGCACTGGTGGGCACAGGTGGGTGGGCACAGGTGGGTGGCACTGCTGGGCACATGTAGGTGGCACTTCTGGGCACAGGTAGGTGGCACTGCAGAGTGGCACAGGTGGGTGCACTGCTGGGCACAGGTGGGGGCACTGCTGGGCACAGGTGGGGACACTGCTGGGAACGGGTGGGCGGGGCTAGTGGGCGCACTGCTGGGCGAAACTTGCGGGTGTCACTGCTGGGCACCGATCATCAGGGCACTGATCATCAGTGCCCTGATGATCGGTGCCGATCCCCGCTCTGACAACTGCCGGTTCTCGGCAGTACTTTCCTCACGATCTGACAGCGTGAGGAAAGTGCAGCCGAGAACCGGCACTTGCATTTCCCTGTGATCAGCGTGTCATTGGACACCGCTGATCACGTGGTAAAAGGCCGGTGGGATCAGCCTTTCACCACAACACGTGATCAGCTGTGTCCGTAGGACATAGCGATCACGGAGATCGCCGGTGTGCGCGCCCCCTGGGGCGCGCAGGAGAGCGCGTTCTGGGAGGACGTCATATGACGTCCACTCAGAACTAGCCGGCCGCGGTGAAGCCGTCATTCGGCTATGCGCGGTCGGCAAGAGGTTAATGGACAGTGGCTAAATAGTTAGCACTTCCACCTGACAATACTCAGGTCATTGGTTTGAATCCCAACCATGGCACCACCTGCCTGGAGTTTGCATGTTCTCCCTTTGCCTGCATGGGTTTCTTCTGGGTACTCCGGTTTCCTTCCACACTCTAAAGACATGCTGGTAGGTGAATTGGCTCCTGTCTAAATTGTCCCTAGTATGTGTATGTATGAATGTGAGTTAGGGACCTTAGATTGTACACCCCTTGAGGGTTAGGGACTGATGTGACTGTACAATATATATGTAAAGCGCTGCGTAAATTGACAGAACTATATAAGTACCTGAAATAAATGAAATGAAATACATCGGTTTGAATAATCTTATGTCACCAATAAATTATTTGTGTACCCCCCCGTTCCCACCAATATGATTTGTCATGCAATTTGACAGTTCAAAATCACATGACAAGTCGCACTCTATTAGCGCCTATGGAATCGTTCAAATCGGTGCAACTTCGACTTTGAAAAAAGGTTCCGGCGCTATTTTTTGGCTATTTCAGGTGCAACTTGCATAGACATTTGTGCATGAAGTCGCACAGATGTCAGGCAAGCTGCACATGGAATCGCACTGATCAGTGGCTTTGAAATTGCGCTAATTCAAGTAAAGTAGCGCGATTTCAAGGCCGCATTCAGTGTGAATCGGGGCTCACTGTCTATACTGCTCTAGAATAAGCAGCAAGTCATAGAAACATTTCATCCTGTCTACATGCCTCACCCTGGGCTGCACATCATTGCCAGTAGTGATAATGATTAACCATGCCTATGCACGTGTGATGCGCAGAGTGACAATGCAGAGGCATAATTGGGGGAAAGTTGTCATCCTATAACAGGAAGTGAATGAACAAGGACTTTTTAGCAGGATTACCAGGTATTATCCAAATAAAAGCTGCAGATTCAGAAGACAAAAGAAAATTTGGCTGAAATATCATTAGTGTGTGATTGGATTTAAAGGATAAGTTCATCTTTAGTAACATGTTATATGTTACACTTGTACGAAAGGTGTAACTTGGTACTATACATTAATGGCCACCCCCCTGATCCTAGACCCCTTGTGACATTGAGCAGACATTCTTCTTCCCACACCCACTGTCACAAACTAAAAAAACCAAGGCTGTGTGGGGGCTCCGCCCGCACAGTTGCGTCATTCACAACATATCAATTACAAAGGATCTGTGGCTGATTAAGGGGGTAAATAAACCCTTAGTGCCTTATCTGCATTAAATTAGCCTCAGAACCTGTGTACAGGGGCGGACTGACCATTTGGAAACTCAGGCACTGCCCGAGGTCAGTAGGGGGCCCCCATGAGATGCCCCTGGTACATTTTTCATAGGTTTTTTGGGTTTGGGCAAGGACACAGGGGCCCCATGATCCCCTATTGCCTCGGGGCCCCATAATTTGTCAGTCCGCCCCTGCCTGTGTAATTTATGTGTTCGGTTTTAAAGGGGTGAACTGGCAACCCTGGTCACTGGTGATACACATCCTACAACTTTTCAACAGAAAGCCCATACAGAGGTACAGGCAGAAGGCTGTAGGCCATGTCTGCAGGTGCCTGACATTTCACCCGTGGTCTCAGGGGCATATTTGCTGCGAGGCAAACAAGGCGTTTGCCTAGGGTGGCACTTTTCACACTGACACTAATGATGGGGCATCATCGTTGGGGTCAGTGGGAGGAATAGTGCCCCATCATTGCTGTCAGTGGGAAGAAAAAAGTGCCCCATCATTGGTATCAGTGGAAGGAATAGTGCCCCATCATTGGTATCAGTGGGAGGAATAGTGCCCCATGATTGGTGTCAGTGGGAGGAATAGTGCCCCATCATTGGTATCAGTGGGAGGAATAGTGCCCCATCATTGGTATCAGTGGGAGGAATAGTATCCCATCATTGGTATCAGTGGGAGGAATAGTGCCCCATCATTGGTGTCAGTGGGAGGAATAGTGCCCCATCATTGGTATCAGTGGGAGGAATAGTGCCCCATCATTGGTATCAGTGGGAGGAATAGTGCCCCATCATTGGTATCAGTGGGAGGAATAGTGCCCCATCATTGGTGTCATTGGGAGGAATAGTGCCCCATCATTGGTGTCAGTGGGAGGAATAGTGCCCCATCATTGGTGTCAGTGGGGGAATAGTGCCCCATCATTGGTATCAGTGGGAGGAATAGTGCCCCATCATTGGTGTCAGTGGGAGGAATAGTGCCCCATCATTGGTGTCAGTGGGAGGAATAGTGCCCCATCATTGGTGTCAGTGGGGGAATAGTGCCCCATCATTGGTATCAGTGGGAGGAATAGTGCCCCATCATTGGTGTCAGTGGGAGAAATAGTGCCCCATCATTGGTGTCAGTGGGAGGAATAGTGCCCCATCATTGATATCAGTGGGAGGAATAGTATCCCATCATTGCTATCAGTGGGAGGAATAGTGCCTCATCATTAGTGTCAGTGAGAGGAATAGTGTCCCACTGTTGTTGTCAATGGGAGAAATAGCACCCCATTGTTGTCAGTGGGTGGAGCGCTAACAGGAAGAGGTGGAGCCTAAAGATGATGGGGTGGATCTTAAACAGGAAGGAATGGGGCAAATTTAGATGCGGGTGGGGTGCCCCATTTTAGTCTTGCCTAGGGCAGCACAAAACCAAAATACACTACTACGTGGTCTGCTGATGGTGGGTACAATGCTCTGCAAGCTCCTAAGAAACAAATTAATAAATGCACATTTTTTTTACCTGCAAAAGCATGCACATTTATTATTATTTTTTTTAAAGGTGAACTTATCCTTTAAATCTGATTTTAAACAAAGTGACAGATACCCTGGTCTATTTGGAATACATAGGCACACACAGCAAGATATAAGTGTACAAGGCCACTCAACAACTAGAACAGCCTTTCTTGACCTTTTTAGGGTGGAGGACCCCTTGAAATAACTTTCCGTTCTCATAGAAACTCTGCTAATAATTACTATATCTACACTGTACATTGCTGTGATGGTCACTGGAGAGAATGCTCCTTACATGTGTGGCCATTAGGAACATCCCCTCCTTACAGAAAACTAAGAGGATCATTGTTGTCAGTAGTTAATTATCTCCAAGGAAGAAGTTGCTCATTGCTGAAGGAATCCCTTTCAACCTCTGGAGGAACCCTAGAGATCTATGGAACCCTGGCTGAGAAAAGCATGTCTAGAGATTAGATCCTGTTATGTAAACCCAGGACTGGATTTTGCTTTTTTCATATATGTGGATTGGTTTATTTCTTCAACTGTTTCTTCTAGATTATAAATCATCCTGGAATCAGCCAGCTAATGAAATCCCAGTACAAGAAGGACATTCAGTGATCCTTATCTGCTCTTACACCCTTCCTAGTGGTCGGTATACAGAGAGAGATGTTGTGCGGGTCAATGTATACTGGAGGGTGGGGAATGTAACCGGACCGTACGCCTACCACCCCTACCGGGAAATGGTCCATTCTACATATAGACATCGGACAAGCATAACAGGAATGACTGATCTAATGATAAAGAATGTGATGAAAGCAGACAATACTTCATTTCACTGCTTTGTGGTGGTCAAACTCTGTGCAGGTGACAACCAATATGAAGATAAAATTCAGTATGGAGGAGGAACCAGACTTATCATCAGTGGTAAAGGTAAGGGGCTCCTAGCTCCATATTTATCATTTCACTGTATGTTTGGTGACAGTAATTAAAGCTGAACTCACGATCCTGATCTTTTTCCACTTCCAACTCCCATGTGGGTGGTCTGCAGAGACTGTACCCACCCACAAAGGGAGCGGTAACATCAGCCCTTCACCTTCAGTAACTACACGTGGAGGTTGAATGGCTGGGAGCCATTTCTCCATAGTGAGAAAACAGGGCTGCAATAATACATGAAAAATAGGGGGCATACTAAGGGAATGGAAAACATGGAGGAACAAACTATAAAATGATTGTAGAGGTAAAATTATTATTTTTTAAATAAACACGTTATACTTACCTGCTCTATGCAATGGTTTTGCAAAGAACGGCCATGAGGTTTATATTTATCACTTCTTTATACACTATATTGCCAAAAGTATTGGGACGCTTGCCTTTACATGCATATGAACTTTAATGGCACCCCAGGCCAGTCAAGTTCCTCCACCCCAAACTTGCTCCTCCATGTCTTGTGCACTGGTGTACAGTCATGTTGGAACAGGAAGGGGCCATTCCCAAACTCTTCCCACAAAGTTGGGAGCATGAAATTGTCCAATATGTCTTGGTATGCTAATGCCTTAAGAGTTACCTTCACTGGAACTAGGGGGCCAAGCCCAAACCATGAAAAACAACCCCACACCATAATCCCCCCTCCACCACACTTTACACTTGGCACAATGCAGTCAGGCAAGAACTGTTCTCCTGGTAAATGCCAAACCCAGACACGTCCATCTGAGAAGTGCGATTGGTCACTCCAGAGAACACATCTCCACTGCTCTAGAGTCCAGTTCATCCGACGCTTTACATTGCACTTGGTGATGGAAGGCTTGGATGCAGCTGCTCGGCCATGGAAACCCATTCCATGAAGCTCTCTATGCACTGTTGTTGTGCTAATCTGAAGGCCACACCAAGTTTGGAGGTCTTTAGCTATTGACTCTGCAGACAGTTGGAGACTTCTGCGCACTGTGCGCTTCAGCATGCGCTGATCCCGCCCTGTCATGTGACGTGGCCTACCACTTGGTGGCTGAGTGGCTGTTGTTCCCAGTTGCTTCCACTTTGTTATAGTCCCACTAACAGTTGAGCGTGGAATATTTAGTAGCCAGGAAATGTCGCGGATGGACTTATTGCACAGGTGGCAACCTATCACGGGACCACGCTTGGAGTCACTGAGCTCCTGAGAGCGACCCATTCTTTCACCAATGTTTGTAGAAGCAGTCTGCATGCCTAGGGGCTTGATTGTATACACCTGTGTCCATGGAGGGGATTGGAACACCTGAATCCAATGATTTGGAGGGCGGGGACAATACTTTTGGCAATATAGCGTATGTCTGGTGCCAGGAATTAAGGATCACGGTACAAAGTATTTCCTAACATTACTTTTTAGTGTTTATAAAGCTGTCAGCAGGATTGTTTTAAAGGTAAACTAAAAGCCGCTTTTGGTCAGTGTTGTTTTAATTTTTTTTCGTGTTTGTAAATATAGTGTTACAATCTATTTGTGAATGCAGTTGCACAGCTATTTGTAGGTTTTATTCATATGAAGCCTCTTTCAGTAACCCTGAAGCCCAAACCTGGACTCTGCTGGAAAAAAAAATGACAGCCAAGTCCAGCAGACTACATTATTTATTTATTTCAGGTACTTATATAGCGCCATCAATTTACGCAGCGCTTTACATATATATTGTACATTCACATCAGTCCCTAACCTCAAGGGGCGTACAATCTAAGGTCCCTAACCCTCAAGGGGCGTACAATCTAAGGTCCCTAACCCTCAAGGGGCGTACAATCTAAGGTCCCTAACCCTCAAGGGGCGTACAATCTAAGGTCCCTAACCCTCAAGGGGCGTACAATCTAAGGTCCCTAACCCTCAAGGGGCGTACAATCTAAGGTCTCTAACCCTCAAGGGGCATACAATCTAGGGTCCCTAAACCTCAAGGGGTGTACAATCTAAGGTCCCTAACCCTCAAGGGGGGTACAATCTAAGGTCCCTAACTCACATTCATATATACACATACTAGGGACAATATAGACAGGAGCTAATTAACCTACCAGCATGTCTTTTGAGTGTGTACCATTCTGTCAGAAGCAGTGATTTTTTTGAAATGTTTAAAGTGGTAGTAAACCGCAAGAAAGGAAAAAAAAAAGTCCCCTACAAGGTAAATGTCAAAATGTACTAGTATGCATGGCATAGCACGATGTCACCGCTGTAGAGGCTTCCATCTTCACCCGGTTTCCTTCTGGGTTCGCAAGCTCCAGCCACCTGACAGGCCGGGCCGTGATGACGTCACTCCCACGCATGCGCACTGGAGTCCCAGGCCACGGCACACAGCTCTGAATGGCACAGGTATGCCGTTCCTTCACAGCGCATGCGCCGGTTTTAGAAAAGAGAGATTATCTCCTAAACAATGCATGTTTAGGAGATATTTATTTTACCTACAGGTAAGCTTTAACCACTTGCCCTCCAGAGGATTTACCCCCCCTTCCTGACCAGGCCATTTTTTTTGAGATACAGCGCTGCGTTACTTTAACTGACAATTGTGCTGTCATGCAACGCTGCACCCAAATGAAATGTACATCCTTTTTTTTTTTAAATTAATTGAGCTTTCTTTCGTTGGTATTTGATCGCCTGTGCATTTTTTATTTTTTGTGCTATAAACAAAAAAAGACAGACAATTTTGAGAAAAAAAACAGTATTTTTGACTTATTTTTGCTCTTAAACATGTCCAGTAAAAAAAATTAAAAAATCAAATTTTGTCATAAATTTAGGCCAAAATGTATTCTGCTCCATGTCTTTGCTAAAAAAAATCCCAATATAAGTAATTTAATTGGTTTACATGAACGTTATAGCATTTACAAATGGCGGTATATATACTGTTTTGTTTTTTTTTTAATACTAGTAATGGCGGCGATCAGCGACTTATAGCGGGACTGCGGTGGGCATTCTAACACTGGGTGAGAACTGACTAACTGCCACTGACATCTCCAGTGACTCTAATACAGTGATCAGTGCTAATAAAAAGCCCTGACACTGTACTAATGCCACTGGGCAGGAAGGGGTTAACAATCAAAAACATGAAGCAGAATACATTTTGGCCAAAATTTATGAAGAAATTTGTTTTTCTAATTTTTTTTTATTGGATATGTTTTATAGCAGAAAGTTAAAAAGATAGCTTTTGTCCCAAACTTTTTTGGTATTTTTTCATTGATATTGCAAAAAAAAAAAAAACAGTGGTGATCAAATACCACCAAAAGAAAGCTGTATTTGTGTGCAAAACATTATATGAATTTCACTTGTGTACAGCGTTGCATGACAGCACAATTACCAGAGCAATTAGCTCAGTGCCGAATAGCAAAAAATGTCTTGGTCACAAAGGGAGGTAAAATTTTCAGGAGCTAAAAGTGGTTAAAAGCAAGTCTAGCTAAATTGTCCTTAACCTCTTGCTGCCCAAACAACTCATGTGTGCCGGCAAAGACGGCGAGCTTTAATGAACACAAACTGCACATGTTCCTCCATGGCA